TTAAACAACATCGCCAACGTGATAATTCAGATTTTGACTTATATGCTAAGAAATATTTATAACTATCACGAATTATCAAAAGTTTTCCTCGAGAACTTTCAATAAACGTCGTTTTTTCAGACATGTTAAACCTTAAAACACACTATAGGCACTACGGCGTACGGTAAGCTACTAAAAATATAGTCTTATTGATACGAGTATTTAGTATATTGTCTAACTGTCTAACTCATAATCAATGACATTTGATGATACACAATATAACAATAAAAGTAAAATGTAGGTATATACGTATATGACCGTACGTTGTATATGTACGTATCTTTATTAGGCTTAATCAATGTTACAATCGACTGTTAGTCGGACACTTAGACTAGCGTTTTTCCCTAGCTGATAAGAACGCGACCAGAATTTAATCTACAGATACGCGCAAAATGTGATCCTAGCCATACTCTATTTTTATAATACGAAACGTAACACTACAACACTGACTAAAATATTGGAGGAAAATAGACATAATTTTAGTCAAAAATAATGTGGAGGAAAATGGAAACCAACCTTTTTTGTTTTTGGCGGAAAATGGACAGTGGAGGAAAACGGAATCTCGTTTTTGGAGGAAAATGGTCCCGCCCATTTTTAGGACTTAAAAGTCAAAAATCGGGCTTTTYACGGAACCAGATTTTAATCTCATCTTCAATTTTGTTCATAGGTGTTTYTACAATAAAACAACTCAGTAACCATATATTATTCTCGAAACGCGTAAACGTGTTTTTATTGGAATTTTTTCGTGTACCTATATATTTTGATGAGATTTCTTCTAAGTATTAAAGTTAGTGCCTACCTATATAACAACAAGATAAAATATTTCTTCAAAAATTCTTTTATCGGTCTTATTAAACTTCATCAGAAGTTTACAGATGATTCATACTTAACCACGACCAACGCATATAGATTTTAATCGAAATATGTATAAATCATATACCTATCATAAAAGATTTTATCTCCATAGTTAACGTAATACATTTTAATAGAAGTTCCCTACAAATTGTTCTATTATATAAATTCACCGAAAGTTACGCTATTTATGGCGATGAGATATTTTTTGATTAAATAATATATAAAAATTATTGAAAGTTTGAAAATATAGATTATCATAAAATAATGAATATTACATTTTAAAGAAACAGCTCTATATATGAATAGAGAATAATAATATAGAATTGAAATTCTATATTTAGCCTCAGAATGTTATAAAAATAAACGATATTTTTTTTGTTTCAAAACTAGTACTTTTGATCACCTAAATTAATCTTGTCATCTTTTGCACTATAGTGAGTCATTGAGAGTCGAGAACCTGAGAAGAGAGCATTTTATGAAAGATATAATTGTTTATACAATTACATGCTGCATGTTGTTACAAAATAGTATGTGACTGAAAAAGAAGAAAACAAATTCAAATCATTCAGAAAAAAAATATTTAGAAATAATAGAAACCGAGTTTTAATAGTTTTTTAAATATCTACAGTGGTCACTGTTGTTAATGTTGTTATAATCAGTTTATGTTTTAAATTGTATTTTTGACGAAATCTATAAATAGGTACAGACCTTATTACGTATGTATGTGTAATGTGCATTGGTTTTAAAATAAAGTTAAGTTTATAGATACGTATTAAAGTCCCCACACACTGCAGCGGTAGGTAGCAGTAAAATTCTTTTGTCTTGGTGGTGGTGGTAAATTGTGACAGACTTAATTTTGCCGTTACCGCGTCCAGTCGTATAATCGTCAGTGTGTGGAGATCTTTATACTTCTATATTGATCTAAATCAATGGTAGGCAATAGGTACATGATTTAACTTTTGTTTAATTTTGTCACTTATCAGTTTTGTTCTTAGAAGTTAGCAAAATTCATTTCAGGATCTTCTCTACCCTTGACACTTAAATAAATACAGGCTGTACATATATCATATTTTATTGTATTTTGATGTATTATAATAAAAATAACTCTTTTGAATTGTAACTATATAAATAAGAATTAGTTTTGTCATTGGRTCTAAACAATAGTTACGATATCATTTTCAAAAAAAACTGATCATTTATCTTATATGTAGGTATAGTAGGTAATCTATGCACTATTATAATATTAATCGTTATTATGTATGAATTGTATGATAAAAATCAAAATTAAAAAAGCATACTGTTTATTTTTTATATAGATATTTTGCTACCTTGAACTAGTTAGGCTTATCGTAACAAAAATTTATATAATTTAATTTAATGATATAAATGTGTATTTTAATTTTGCCATCATTCACAAATTACAATCATAAATCATAATGAAGAAATGTATGATTATAATGTTTTATAATTTTGACCATTTGTTAATGTGTTGAAGACGGTAAATCTCGGGACCTATTAAAATTTAAAACCAAAAAGTACGCGGGCACTGGACCACATTACGTCCCATATGTCCTCCCTTAACGCCGCCGGCACTGTGAATATTATTATGGTGCAATGTGGTATACGTAAGTTCTACCTCCAAGCGGAGGTATAGTCATGGAGAAAACGCGTTTATCATAATGCAATGACCAGCAACTTGTTCGAAGGTGATCGATATGAGAAACGGCCAACAGGAGTGGGAGTCATTTACAATATAACCATTATTCCGTCTTTTCTCGTGTGGCTGCGGCTTTGTTGTTTTCTATCTACTGCGAGTACGGAGTGGTCTTTGTGCGCATTTTCGAGTAACGTAAATGTCGTAAATTACTTATATTTTACTTAATTACGCACATAATTGATCACGAGGACGAGTCTTCTAGACCTGCAGTTCCATTGGACAGTTCAATTATTGTTTATGTAATTATTTCGGCGCGTCGATGAGATCAGTAGAATTTTAAAGGTAATAATGGTTAATTTTATATTATCGTTATATATTGATAATATTATTAATGTATTGGTAATATGTATAGATTATTATAATATACTTATTATGCTTTCGTGTGATGTATATTACAACATAATAACTTGCGTCACCGTAAAATTACAATATCGTCTCACAGCTCACGCTGATCAGTTTACAGAGAAATGTATACCAATAAATTCAACGTTTCTATCCAATATAATATTTTATAATACTTTTGTGAACAAAGACAAAATAGATGATCAGTGGTATTAAGTAAATAATATTAGGCTTGCTCAGTGGTGTTAGTTTTTTTGAGATATGTTATAGTGTATTATATATTTATAGCTCTATTTCAACTGTACATAATTAATGTACAACACTAAATACTTTATACTAGGTGGATAGTATTTTACTTTCGAATACCTATAGAGAAAAATGAATGATAAAACATTTTAAACAATTTAGGCCAATACTGTGGTTTGATTCAGATTAATTGACTTTTATGTTTCAATAATATTTACTAATGCCTAATGTAAGTTTTAATAGTTTATAATTATTACATTTTAGCGTGTTACTTGCTCGAATAAGTCGTACTTCAAATTTATAATTTTTATTGTGATTTATGTTATTTTATTATTTTATACGGTTTGCCGACGTTATCACTTATTATCTTTACGCGGTTCATTCTATGATTTTGTCCACGGTTATCTTTGCTTGTACATTTTAATGTTATCACGTTTAGTCGCTCTTATCGATTGGCGCCCTGAGTCCGGACGCGCCAGTGTCGGCGTACTGTTGTTTATTTGATAGTTATCGTTGCCGTTTGTAATTTTTACAATAAAACTACGCGTGTGTTCACGTTCTCCTTTTTCTTGTATTTGTCCGTATTGCAGTCGATTATGGCGAACAATACCCTTTTAAAATTTCGGAATCATCTGCGCATCTGAAGTTCGAATACGTTCCAAGTGAGTTGATATTTTCATTTACAAATCTCGCCAGATATTGCATGCAAATATTTAATATTTATGACTTCGACTCTCGGCGTTTTTGAAATTCTGACAATCTTAGGTTGGTGAAAAATTCTGTTAACAATATAGGCTGACTTGGAATCTCGGACGAAAAGGTCTTGGACAAAAAATCTATTTTGAAAAACTATTGACTCATTTTTAATTATATTATATACTGTATAAGTATATATATAATTATATACATTGTGATCCATGTAACGTAAGGTACTCATTATTTTCAATGATGCATTATGTATGAAAGTTTTATTCTGTTCGCTGGTTAGATCTTTACTGGAATATGAGTCGGTATTGTGGAATACTAATCAATCAGGTTTGGATCGCGGTGAATTGGTCGCGAACATT